TATTATTGATTGTTACAGTATTATGTTTTTAAATTATTTTAATGATTATCATATATAATAGAAAATTATTATTATTATTATTATCATCATCATCATTACTGATTAAGCGTGTTAATTATATATTATTATTGATTGTACATGCACTCTAAATTATAGTTCAACATTTATTATAATAATCGTCATCATCATCATCATTTATAAACATATTATTATTATTATATTGTTATTCTTTTTTTGCATTAATAGTACACATGCATCTTAAACTATAGTTTATTATTATTATTATTGGTATTAATAATAATAATATAATTAGTTCTAGTATAAAATTATACAATAATGATTAGAATGATTATCATTAGTAAAATTATTATTATTATTAGTGTTGTTGTTGTTATTGTTACTATTATTACTGATTAAGTGTGTTGATTACATATTATTATTGAATATTATATGTATTTTATTGTTTTTGGTTTTCTGCATTAATAGTATACATGCACTCTAAATTACAGTTCAATATTAATCATCGTTATCATCATCATGTAATAGATCATCATTATCATTATTATTATTATTATATTGATGACTATTATTTATTGCTTTTTGATTTTTGCATTAATATTTACGCACTCTAAACGAGTTAAGTTATTCTAAATTATATTTATCTATATTTTAATTCAATACTAATTTATTTTACTATCATTTAGTAAGAATTAGTAACTCAATTCCACATATTTCCACTTTGCTGTGACAGCACATTATCATTATTACGCTATTATATTATATAAATCTTCATAAATCTTTACTCTAAGTCATTGAGTAAAGTATACTTATTAGCTACTAAACTGGAATTAATTCCGCGTTTAAAACCTCTTGAATTTATTACAGTATGTTATAAATTAGTAGCAATAAAAACAACAGTCATCTTTGACTGGCACCACTATATGGCCAGACGGGTGTAAAAACATGCTATTTCCTGTTCCCCATTCATCCTGTTTCAGATAACAGGTTAAACATTAAATCACACACATAGGTTATCAAGTTAAGAATCAGTTAAGCACACAAAAGTAATTCCTCATTGTCTGCTTCCTCCAGAAACACCAGCCAATCCAAATCACAAACCCTCATGCAGTTCAGGCCCACAGCAGTCGCTCGCTAGCATCTAAAAGCGGATTGGTTGCGAAGTGAAGCAGGCGAGAGGGAAGCTCTACCTGTTTCTACACCGGGAACTCGACTGGTGTTGAACATACGCTCGTACTGAGATGAGCACATGGGGATTGTGTTTAACACCATGAGCTGTGAAGCAGAACGGAAGGTCAAACACGAAAACAAGGAAGAAACCCAAAATACCTGTAGAGGAAAACAGTCATGGAAAACTGAAAAGGAAAAAGTGGAAGGAGTGAAGGATCATCAGGAGAGATGAATTCAACGTGATGACCAGCCGCCGGATAACAGCACAGCTGCCAAATGACAAAACAGCCTATACCTTCTAAAAACAATTTCAAAACCGATAGAACAGTCAGGCAGATGCAATATATGATATTTGATATTTTAGGATTATTTGATAGTGGTCGTCTGATGTGCGTTTTCCAATGGTTCAGGCAAATTTGAAGAGTGTGGGGTGACTGATGAACAATATACAGTACAGAAAAAAATGCTCTCGTGCTGTAAATGGCATGAGAGCAATTCTAAATAAATAACATTAAAAAAAATGAAATTATACAATTATATAACATTTATTTTATGAATAATATATAATTAAAATATACAATATAAGATATATTATTACTAATATAAATAATACATAATAATACTAAAATATTATTATAATATTGTATTATATTAATATCAATATATTATTAATATTATGATGATTATTATCATAATGAATTATTATTAGGACTGTCAGTTTAACGTGTTAACTTAATTAGTTCTGAAAAAATAACGAGATTAAAATATTTTAACGCAGTTAACGCACTAGCCCCGCCCTCAGACCTGTATGCCATCTTACATTTCATATAGTTGACTGTTGACAAACATGATGCAGGGCAACAACTCCATAAATGCAGTTATGCCCTAAAATTCAAGATATTGGGGCAAAAAAATATTTGTCTCATATTTATTTCATGATATCACACGGGCAGAGAAAGCTATATCACACGAGCGTTGTTTTTGTCCTGAATATCACGAGTTTAAATGTGATACAACAGTTCAGTAAATAAGAAGTTAATATTGTGTTATATTTTAAACAAAATATTGTCTGTTTTTGCTAAGTTTTGCAGAGAAATTACCTTTAAAGCCACAGCAGAATTGTGTCTCCGAGCAACACAGCGGTGATTTGTTTCTGAATGAATCCGCGTTTTGAACGAATCGTGTGAACCAATGCTTCAAAGGCACATTCATAAAGAGAGTCGTTTACTTCATTCCTGAATGAATCAGCCGTTTGAATGAATCAAATGAATGAATGAATAAATGACTCATAAAGACATTTACCGCCACCTGCTGGCAGTTTTAGTTTCTTATTGCTTGTCATTTAATTAAAAAAAACAACATTAAAGGGATAGTTCACCAACAAATTTTAATTCTGTCATCAATTAACCTTATGTCGTTTCAAACCTGTATGACTTTCTTTTGCACAACATAAAATAAAGTATTTTGAAGACTGTTGGTAACTAGACTGTTTTAGTTACCAGTGACTTTCATTGCATGAACAATAAATACGAGATGTTTCTCAAATTATCTTCTATGTTCCATAGTTTATGTTGGGCCATTGTAGCTTAAAAGTTTATGTGTAATAAATGTTATGTTAAATCAAATAAAATATTTCTTTCTAAAGCTACTATTTGTAATATCTAGATGATACTTTCTTATTTAACACAATAATGGCTTTAAATGATCTTTTGTGGGTAATTTCACAGCCAAATCTAATTTGCGATTAATTTGATTAATTAATCGACACATCGTGTAATTAATTAGATTAAAAATTTGTATCGACTGACAGCCCTAAGTATTACGTATTTTATTTTTAACTATTTCTATATTTGGCCAATATATTGTTGTATCACTATTGTTGATATTATTGAAATCTGTATATAAATATATATAAGTGGATAAGGAGGAGTCCAGAAGTGCTCTTATATTATGAAAAATTGTATATATAACAGTTGCGAGATATAGATATATCATAATTATATAGAACATCTTGTACCAAAATTCAAATAAAGGAAGTCATACAGGTTGTTAATGGCATTAGGGTGACTAAAATGAAAAATACTTACTAAAATACTACTAAAATTGCGATTATACTATTTAAAAATTATATATAAATTATGTGACTTCATACAATTAAATAATGTTATCATAAATATTATAAAATATTATTATATGATTAATATAATAAAAAGGAAAAAATAATAATATGAATGATAAATTCAAATAATAATAATAACATATAAAATATTATATTACTTATTATAATAATATATAATTAATTATCAGGATTTTGCAACTATTTACTTGTTTCTATAATTGCCTGATATATTGGTGTATCACTATTATCGGTATTGGATATTATAGTCATCTTCTGCTACTGCTAGTTGTGTCCAAGAAAGATTTGGTGTCGCCTGCTATCATTAAATTGTATGATATCATATAAATCATAATTATATCCACCATCATCCACCCTGCTCTCTAGAAATCAGCCAATAAAAAGCCCTTATCAGTCGACCACTGAGTCAATTAGCTCTGTATTCTCCTGTCCGCTGTGCTGTTGTCCTGAGGCTGAGTCTGAGGCGGCCGCTGCTGGAGCTGATGGAGGGTGTGGGTCAGATGTGGGTCGGGACAGACGAGCCCCTCCTCTTACCTGTCTCCAGCCCGGGAATACGGGACGTGTTAAACATCTGCTCCCACTGCGCCGAGCACAGCGGCACTCGCTTCTCCAGCAAGTATAACTGTGCGTGTGGTGTGTGAGTGCACATAGCAAACACAGAAACGTCCGGGAGCGAGGAACAAAACACAAGATTGTTTATGAGGGGGACGCTTTCACAGTCATGCACACAGAGTTTGGGGGGTTAGAGAGAGAGACAGGCATGGTATGACATGACAAACAGCCTTTTCAACATACGTCTACTCATTTAATCATTATACAGTATAAAATAAAAAATATTTTAAAAAATCTAACAAAAAAACAGACACAAACATGCACTAAAAGACATTTGATATGAAGTAGGAGGTAAGAGAGACCAGAAGAGAACATATATATATATATATATATATATATATATATATACACACACATTCAGACCCCCACACACACACACACACA